TACTGCCACTTGTATCGATGACCTGGCAAGTTTCTCAGAGAATCTTTTACTCAAATCTCAACCAAACAACGCGACTAACCCTTTTCCTGTTCAAGAATACGAGAATGACACTTCTTTCGATCTGATGACTGAGGTTTCGGCACTTCACCAGTTCAAAATCTGGACATTGCAGATTCTTGCACTTGTGTATATATGCATGATGCTTGTTCTTCCTGCGTATCTATCTGTTTCAGTGTTCATGAACTTCATCTCTTCTGGTCATTCGTGGTTAGGGTATGCTACCTGTTTACTTTGTGCTCCTATCGCATGGATATTCTGCATATTCTCAACTTGCATATCGGTGGCTTTTTTCGGTAAATCATTCCTCCAGCCGAATTACGCTTTGACCCCCGAGGTTTCCATATGGTCTATGGATTTTGTCAAGTGGTGGACGCTTTACAAGGCACAAGAAATTTCTTCCAAGGTTATGGGAACTCACTTGAGGGGCACAGTGTTTTTAAATTACTGGTTTGAGTTGTTTGGAGCAAGAATTGGTTCATCGGTTTTGCTGGATACAGTTGACATTACAGACCCATCTCTGGTTTTTATCGGAGACCAAGCTGTGATTGCAGAAGGTGCATTGATTCAAGGACATGAAGTAAGAAATGGAGTTTTGAGTTTTCTACCAATTAGAATTGGTCAAAGGTCTGAAATTGGTCCTTATGCTGTGATCCAAAAAGGAAGTCTTTTGGGGGAAGAAGCTAAAGTGGGAGCTTTACAGAAAACAGAAACCGGAAAGCCTGTTTTCCGATCAGGCAGGCGCAAAAATGTTCAGAAGGTAATTTTTAACTTCAACACTTAATTTTTTTTTTTCCAAAAATGGTCAAAAATATTTATTCTTTTGTGTATATTTGGTCTCAGGATGCAGCAATTGACACTCAAACTCCGGCAATCTATCACCTGATGGGTATTTACATGGTCGGATTTCTAAGTTCTCTTTCAGCCGGAATAGCTTACTTCCTTTACACATCTTTATATCAAGAATCACCATCTCTCAACCACTTTGCGTTTCTCTGTGTTGCCGGAGCTTTCCACTGGCTTCCTTTCACTATTATCGCGTATGCTACCATGATTGTTACCACCTCAGTGGACCCACTGACCTTTGCCACGTCACTTGCTGCTGCTTACCTGGCTCATGGCTTGATCCTCAGCTTACTAACCTGCACAATCACATGGTTCCTTGAGAAAGAAGAAGGGAGCCCGTTTAAAATATGGCTTCGCCATCGGATCAATATTTCTTGCCATCTTAAATTCGCCAAGCTTCTTTCCGGAACTGAAGCATTCTGTGTGTATTTACGGTTGTTGGGTGCAAAGGTCGGAAACCATTGTTCGATTAGAGCCATTAACCCAGTTTCCGACCCTAGACTGATTTCAATTGGTAACGGCGTTCATTTGGGTGACTTTAGTAGAATCATCGCTGGGTTCTACTCGATTACCGGGTTTAAAAGTGGGAAAATTGAAGTTCACGATAACGCAGTAGTTGGAAGTCAAAGCCTTCTGCTACCTGGTTCAGTCGTTCAAAATGATGTCATTCTTGGTGCTCTTTCAGTGGCTCCAATTGATTCGGTTCTCCAAAGAGGTGGTGTTTACATTGGTTCTCAAACGCCGGTTATGATTAAAAACACCATGCATGCCCTAGACGAGCGCATAGAAGAAATGGATGTGAAATACAAGAAGATCGTCGGAAACCTAGCTGCTAATCTCGCTGCCACTACTCTTAAAGTCAAATCGAGATACTTTCATAGAGTCGGAGTTAGTGGGAAGGGAATCTTAAAGATTTATGATGACATCAAAGGATTTCCAAATCATAAAATCTTCTACCCAGGGAAAACTTACCCTATCATTATCAGACACAGTAACAGCTTAAGCGCAGATGATGATGCAAGACTCGATGCACGTGGTGCAGCTGTGAGAATCCTATCTGCCGAAGCCGAAACCGAAACCCCGATTCTCGACCTGACATTGAAAACCGGAAATGCATTCTACGCAAGGACAATCTCCGATTTCGCCACGTGGCTCGTTTGTGGACTGCCAGCAAGAGAACAGCACGTGAAGCGGGTCCCACATGTGCGTGACGCTGTATGGACATCACTTCGGAACACCGATTCATTCACCAGTTTGCATTACTTCTCAAACATATGCAGGATTTTCCGGTTCGAAGATGGAAGTGAAATGTATGTCAAATTTAAATTGAGACCTTTTGACGATAACATACCTGAAGAATCCGGTAAGATTGAACCCATCGGAATCCTTCCTCCAGAAACCGGTGCAATTCCGAGAGACGTTAACGACAAAAGGCCACCTGTTTTCCTTGCTGATGATTTTCAACACAGGGTGAGTCAACCAGGTGGGGTCCGGTATGTTTTCCAGTTACAGATCCGAGACGTACCCAAAGATGAACCCACCCAAGACATTGCACTTGATTGCACAAAACCATGGGACGAAACCCAATTCCCATATATCGATGTGGGAGAGATAACAATCGATCAAAATAACACGCGTGAACAATCGGAGAATTTACAGTTCAATCCTTTCTTGAGATGCAACGAGGTGGATGTAATTCGCGCTACATCCGCCTCACAGAGTGCTTCAATCGATCACGGCCGTTCATTGATATACGAGATCTGTCAACATCTGAGAAACGGTCAGCCACTTCCGGAGTCATGGAGGAGTTTCATAGAACAATCCGATGTCAAAGTAGACCTCTCCGGTTGTCCCATGGCAGCAACAGTAACAGCACCACCGGAGAACAAAAACTCCGGCGAAGTGACTCTGGCGAGAACATGGTATCAAACTTCATGGACGCTATTCGGGCAGCCTCTGTTACAGACGTTCTTGCCTTACTTCTTGATGGCGTTGCTAATCTCGGGTCCATTAAACTTGATGTTTTACATAAAATCAGCAACCGGGTACCCGATTCAGTGGCTGTTGCCTCTATTTTGGGTGTGTTCGGGTGTGTGGGGTGGGATAGCATGTGTGATTGCAAAGTGGGTGTTGGTGGGAAAGAAGAAAGAGGGTGGGAGTGTGTTGATTTGGGGGAAAGAGGTGTTTATGGATACAATATGGCAGGCGTTTAGGACGTTGGTGGGGGAGTATTTCATGGAAATGGTGAGTGGGAGTTTTTTGTTTGTAGTGTGGATGAAGGTGATGGGGTCGGAGATTGATTTGAATGGAGGGGCGTATGTGGACAGTATGGGGGCGGTGTTGAACCCTGAGATGGTGGAGGTTGAAGGCGGTGGGTGTGTGGGGCGGGAGGCTTTGTTATTTGGACATATTTACGAAGGAGATGGTGGGAAGGTGAAGTTTGGGAAGATTAGGGTTGGTGAAGATGGGTTTGTAGGGAGTAGGAGTGTTGTTATGCCGGGTGTCAGGGTGGAGAATGGTGGTAGTCTCAGTGCATTGTCACTTGCATTTAAGGGAGAAAT